GACATTCCTATCCCACCGACACCGCGATGTTCATATCTCACCAACACCGCGATGTTCATATCTCACTGACACCAAGACCACGATGTTCATAATCTCACTGACACCAAGACCACGATGTTCATATCTCACTGACACCAAGACCACGATGTTCATATCTCACTGACACCAAGACCACGATGTTCATATCTCACTGACACCAAGACCACGATGTTCATATCTCACTGACAGCGACATTCCTATCCCACCGACACCGCGACATTCCTATCTCACTGACACTGACACCGTGACATTCCTATCCCACCGACACCGCGATGTTCATATCTCACCAACACCGCGATGTTCATATCTCACTGACACCGACACAGCGACATTCCTATCCCACCGACACCGCGACATTCCTATCCCACCGTCACCGCGACATTCCTATCTCACTGACACCGACACAGCGACTTTCATATCCCACTGACAGCGACTTTCATATCCCACTGACACCGTGATATTCATATCCCACTGACACCGACACAGCGACTTTCATATCCCACTGACACCAACACCGTGATATTCATATCCCACTGACACCGCGACATTCATATCCCACTGACACCGCGACATTCATATCCCATTGACACCGACACAGCGACATTCATATCCCACCGACACCTTAATATTCATATCCCACTGACACCGACACAGCGACTTTCATATCCCACTGACACCAACACCGTGATATTCATATCCCACTGACACCGACACAGCGACTTTCATATCCCACTGACACCAACACCGTGATATTCATATCCCACTGACACCGACACAGCGATATTCATATCCCACTGACACCGTGACAATTTTATCACTTTTTTCCCCACTGACACCGACACAGGAACATTTCTTCCCCCCACACTGATACCTGGGAATTTTGCACTCTTCTCTCTTACATTGGTGGTATTGTTTACCGCCCTCTGAAAACTGATCCACGGCAAATCGCTGTTCAGAGGTAATATAGCAGTGGCTGGCAGGTGTTCCGGTTTTATTTTTTCGATGTGCAAGCTTAGAGGATCCTATGCACAGCTGACAATTGTCAAAATTGCTGCGCAGCTCCTGTTCAGGTGTTGCAGCGACCTGGAAGTGCGCAGTTTTTCACAACCTGGTCCCACCACAAGAGGCAGGAAGGAGGGGGGAGAGAACACAGCCTGCACCTCCTCCCGGCTCTCTCCTTGCCGCTCCCAGCGCTGGGCTGACAGGAGTAGTGATGCCGCTGTCCCAACTCCTGTCAGCCTTGTAACAGAAGGAAGGCGCCCTCATCCATACAGCAAACCATTGCGCCCGCGGGCGGCCCCCCCCCCTGTCCTGACCCCGGGTGTTGGACGGATGGATGACAGCAGCCGCGCTGTATCTTTCCTGAATCGCTCAGCTGGTGCTGATCCTCCGATTTTCTCCTCCCTGTTGAACATATCAGATGTGTTTATCTAAACTGGCCTGATAATAAAAATCTGCGTCTAAATTAACCCTTCCCCCTCCTGAGGATTCACCCCCCCCTCGCCCTCCTGAGGATTCCCACCCTCTTGCCCTCCTGAGGATTCCCACCCTCTTGCCCTCCTGAGGATTCCCCCCCTCTTGCCCTCCTGAGGATTCCCCCCCTCCCCCTCCTGAGGATTCCCGCCCCCTCGCCCTCCTGAGGATTCCCCCCCCCCTCGCCCTCCTGAGGATTTCCCCCCCCCTTTCCTGACCAGGCCATTTTTTGCGTTCTGGCGCTGCGTTACTTTAACTGACGATTGCGCGGTCATGCAATGCTGCACCCAGATTAAATGTACGTCCTTTTTTTTCCAGCAAATTGAGCTTTCTTTCGCGTGGTTGGTATTTGACCACTTTTTTTTTTTTAAATGTATATATTTTGCACCATAAACCAAAAAAGACTGGCCATTTTGAAAAAAAAACTATTTTTTGATTTTTTTGCTGTTAACCACTTCCAGACATTTCCCCCCCTTCCAGTCCGGACGCTTTCACCCCTTCCAGTCCGGACACTTTCCCCCCCTTCTGGGTCCGGGACACTTTCCCACCCCTTCTGGTCCGGACACTTTCCCCCCCTTCTGGTCCGGACACTTTCCCCCCCTTAGAGAATATTCCGGTCCGGACAACTTTCACCCCCCTTCCAGGTCCGGACACTTTCCCCCCCCCTTCCAGTCCGGTCACTCCCCCCCCCCCCTTCCAGTCCGGTCACTCCCCCCCCCCACCTTCCAGTTCCGGACACTTCCCCCCCCCCCCCCTTCCCGGTCCGGACACTTTCCCCCCTTCCCGGTCCGGACACTTTCCCCCCCTTCCGGGCCTTCCGGACACTTTCCCCCCCTTCCGGTCCGGACACTTTCCCCCCCTTCCGGTCCGGACACTTTCCCCCCCTTCCGGTCCGGACAACTTTCCCCCCCCTTCCGGTCCGGACACTTTCCCGCTTCCCCCCCCTTCCGGTCCAGGCATATAGTTTTCAGCTTTCAGCGCTATCACACTTTGAATGACAATTGCGCAGTCATGCAACACTGTAAACCATATTCATTTTTTTAGCATTTTTTTTGAGACAGATAAAACTTTATTTTGGTGATATTTATTCACCACCGGGATGTTTATTTTTTTTGCTATGTAAATGAAAAAGTCGCCAAAAATTTTGAAAAAAAAAGTGTTTTTCTTATAAAATTTTGCAAATAAATAATTTTTCTTCATAAATCTTGGCCACAATGTATCCAGTTATCTTTTTAGTAAAAAAAAACAAAAAAAAAAAACAAATTAGTTTATAACCAAAAATTATTTTTCTAAATTGTTTTTTAAATTTTTATTTTTTTTATATTATTATTTTGGTTTTTTTTTTTTTTTTTTTTTCATACTGTCCACCCTAGCAGTACAGTCACCATGGTGACACTGTACTACTTGTGGGGGTGGTGATGAAGATTTTTTTTTTTACACACGGATTTCTTTTATACCCATAAAAGGCTGTAAAAGCAATCATTTCTCCTTCTCTCTGGCTGCATTCCTGCAGCCATTGAGAAATACTGTGAGTGCTGTGATTTTGGTCACAGCTGTGTCACATGGTACAAGGCTGCTGTGAATGGCCCTGTACCCCCATGTGATCTCTGTGATCATTCACAGATTTCATTCTTACCTAGTAAGCAATGATGTCTCAGAAGTGACAAATTTATTACTACAGTATTATACAGTATTTATATAGCACCAAAAGGATTTTGCTCAGCGCTGACATCTTGCGTACTATGTCTCTGCATGTGATCACTGATTGGCCAGTCAGTGATCACATGATCGGGACCTCACACACATCTGAGGTCCCATACAGCGATCGGTGTTCTGGACACAGCGGACACCGGACCACGGTGCTGCGCTCTCAAGGGAGGGCGCACAAGCAGGGTGCTCAGGGAGGCCGTTTATAAATGGCCACCCATTTCTGCACTGCCACCGTCTGGCCATTTATATTACATGGGCCGGATAGGAAGCGGTTAAACACATCCAGTAAAAAAAATTAAAAATCAAATTTCGTCATAAATTTCAGCCAAAATGTATTCTGCTCCGTGTCTTTGCTAAAAAAAAAAAAAAATATTTCCCAATACGTGTAAATAAGAATCGGTTTACGTGAAAGTTATAGCGTCTAAAAATGGCGGTATAGATAATTGGGATTTTTATTTTTTACTAGTAATGGCGGCGCGATCAGCGACTTATAGCGGGACTGCGGCAGACATTCTGACAATGGGGTGGAAACTGACTTGGATTCACTGACATCCCCAGTGACACCAGAATACAGTGATCAGTGCTAATAAAAAGCACTGACACTGTTTCTGATGTCACTGGACAGGAAGGGGTTAACATCTGGGGCAATCAAAGGGTTAACTGTGTGTTGTACTATGTAGAATGCTGTGCAGAGAGAGATACAAAGCAGCATGGTCCTTGCTGGCAGGAGAGAGACCGGTGTGTTTTTTACATACAGACCTCTCCCCTGTCAGCTCTACACGGCGATCGCCGGGTGCCGGCAGGGAATCTCCAGCCGGGACCCAGTAATTGACATGCTGAGCCGCCTACAGGTGGCGGGTAGTTGAGGCGGGTAAGGCGGTGTGCGCTCTCGCTACCCAGAAATGGGAAATCTCATATATATCAGTGATTTTGCGCGCAAAAGCCCTGCCGCCCTGTAGCTGTGTAGTTTCTGCTATAGGGCGGCGGGGGGAAGCAGTTCTAAAAACAAAATGCCATATATTGTGGCCCAGTGGCGTCCTGAGGCAGCTGCGGGGGGGCCATCCCGCACCGGTGAGACACCGACCGAATGGGGTGACTCCAGACCCCGCTCCACAAAAAGGTAAGTTGCAAAGAAAGCCGACGATCCCGCAGGATGGATCGTGATCTGCGGATTGCGCATAATGGATCGGACTCCGATCCATTATCCTCCCCAATCCGCAGATCCAATCCATCCTGCGGGGATCGTCGGAGGGGGGTGTCACCAAGTGTTACCGCATCGGGTGACACCAACCCTAGGGACGCCCCTGTTGTTGGCCTACCAGTCCCTAAAGCGACACTAAGCCCAGAAGCAAACATTTATTATATTGCGGCTCACCAATTCTTAGATGTGACGGCTGCATTAGTTTTCTTTTTTAGGCTTTCTTTCTTCTATTTTCATCAAGTGATCCGGCCAGCAAGTCTACTGTTCTTCAAAAGCTCAAGCTCTCCAGCAGAATGTATCAGTTTTACCAATTAGATGCGGGCGGCTGCATTTTTTTCTTTTTTTTTAAGCTTTCTTCTCCTTATTTTCACCTGGTGATCCAGTCAGCAAGTCTGTTTTTCAAAAGACTAGGATCTTCTCTGCAGATGTATCTGTTTACAGGGGTGAGACAAACCATTTACCACTGACAGGGATGCTTACACTGATCAGCATTTATATGTAAAATCCTCATACCAAAAGAAAAAAAAATTGTGTGCTGTAACTGATTATAAAGCATTAGCTGGAGTTTCGCTTCAAGCTGCAGTATATTGTGTGTTTTTGCTTTTGGGTATCTGCATTAGTTTTCTTTTTTCAGCTTTTTTTCCATGGTTTTTCACCTGGTGATCCTGCCAGTAATACACTTCTTGCCCTACGGGTGACAACACTGGCTGTACTGTATCTATAGAGGAGCAGTACACACCGGATTTGGATTACAAACACCGCGAGCCACCCAAATCGGACCCTGCATTCACTATATCCGCTCTCCCCGGACCCCGCATTCACTATATCTCCGCTCTCCCCGGACCCCGCATTCACTATATCCGCTCTCTTCCTCCGGACCCCGCATTCACTATATCCGCTCTCCCCCGGACCCCGCATTCACTATATCCCCCCGCTCTCCCCCCCCCGGACCCCCGCATTCACTATATCTTTCTCATCCCCGGACCCCGCATTCTCTATATCCGCTCTCCCTGGACCCCGCATTCACTATATCCGCTCTCCCCGGACCCCGCATTCACCATATCCGCTCTCCCGGGACCCCGCATTCCCTATTCCACTATATCCGCTCTCCCCGGACCCCCGCATTCACCATATCCGGCTCTCACCCCGGACCCCGCATTCTCTATATCCGCTGCTCTCCCCGGACCCCCGCATTCACCATATCCGCTCTCCCCGGACCCCGCATTCACCATATCCGCTCTCCCCGGACCCCGCATTCACCAAATCCGCTCTCCCCCGGACCCCGCATTCACTATATCCGCTCTCCCCGGACCCCCTTCATGTCACTATATCCGCTCTCCCCCCGGACCCCGCATTCACCATATCCGCTCTCCCCGGACCCCGCATTCACTATATCCGCTTCCCCCGGACCCCGCATTGACTATATCCGCTCTCCCCGAGACCCCGCATTCACTATATCCGCTCTCCCCGGACCCCGCATTCACTATATCCGCTCTCCCCGGACCCCGCATTCACTATATCCGCTCTCCCCGGACCCCGCATTCACTATATCATCCTCTCCCCCGGACCCCCGCATTCCCTATATCCGCTCTCCCCCGGACCCCCCGCATTCCCTATATCCGCTCTCCCGGACCCCGCATTCCCTATATCCCCGCTCTCCCCGGACCCCGCATTCCCTATATCCGCTCTACCCCCGGACCCCGCATTCTCTATATCCCGCTCTCCCCGGACCCCGCATTCACTATATCCGCTCTCCTCCCCCCCCCGGACCCCGCATTCACCATATCCGCTCTCCCCGGACCCCGCATTCACCATATCCGCATTCCCCCGGACCCCGCATTCACTATATCCGCTCTCCCCGGACCCCGCATTCACTATATCCGCTCCTCCCCGGACCCCCCGCATTCACTATATCCGCTCTCCCCGGACCCCGCATTCACTATATCCGCTCTCCCCGGACCCCGCATTTCCCATATCTCGCTCTCCCGGACCCCGCATTCACTATATATGCCGCTCTCCCCCGGACCCCGCATTCACTATATCCGCTCTCCCCGGACCCCCGCATTACCCTATATCCGCTCTCCCCGGACCCCGCATTCCCTATATCCGCCTCTCCCCGGACCCCGCATTCCCTATATCCGCTCTCCCCGGACCCCGCATTCCCTATATCCGCTCTTCCCCGGACCCCGCATTCACTATATCCGCTCTCCCCGGACCCCGCATTCACTATATCCGCTGCCCCCGGACCCCGCATTCACTATATCCGCTCTCCCCGGAACCCCGCACCCCGCTTTCACTATATCCGCTCTCCCCCCGAAACCCCGCATTCACTATATCCGCTCTCCCCCGGACCCCCGCATTCACTATAATCCAGTCTCCCGGACCCCGCATTCTCTATATCCGCTCTCCCCGTACCCCGCATTCACTATATCCGCTCTCCCCCCTCCCGGACCCCGCATTCACTATATCCGCTCTCCCGGACCCGCATTCACTATATCCGCTCTCCCCGGACCTCCGCATTTCACTATAATCGCTCTCCCCGTCCCCGGACCCCGCATTCACTATATCCGCTCTCCCCCGGACCCCGCATTCACTATATCCGCTCTCCCCGGACCCCGCATTCACTATATCCGCTCTCCCCGGACCCCCGCATTCACTATATCCGCTCTCCCCCGGACCCCGCATTCACTATATCCGCTCTCCCCGGACCCCGCAATTCACTATATCCGCTCTCCCCGGACCCCGCATTCACTATATATCCTCGCTCCTCCCCGGACCCCGCTGCATTCACTATATATCGCGCTTCTCCGCCCGGACCCTGCATTCACTATATCCGCTCCTTCCGATGCCCGTTTCATCTCATGACTTGAGATCTGCACTATTTGTGTCTTTTAGATCTGCTTGGAGTTTTGGTGCCCAGAGATCATCCCCTCGGTAAGAGGTGGAATGTCGGTGCTCTGGCTGTGTGTGTCTTCCTAGCACAGATGTGACTTCCCCTTCACTGAATGATGAGATTGGTATGGCCGGGACTGCACCGATCTGTCTTCCCGAATAATAAACTGTATTGAACAAGTAAA